TCTGCGTTCACGTACAATTGCTTACATGAACAATGAAAAAAAAATTTAAAAACTAGGATTTAAAAAAAAATATTTTGAATTATATTTTATTTAGTTCATTTTAAGTATTCAGAATAACAAAAGTAAATTTGGTTTGCCTTCATAGATTTTAAAATAGACAGGTTTGTAGTGATACTAACAAAAATCAAGTAGAAAAAGTCTGCGTTCACTGTTTTAGTATTAACTATAAAAATTATTTAAAAAGGGAATAAAGAGCTATGTAGTAGCTGGTTGGATAACCTGGTCATTTGAGAACCTCCTGAAGTCATTTCGGCTTTGAACTAACAAATCTTGCAGTTTCTTCAGCGCTTATCTTCTCCCTTTGGTCCTTAAGAACACTCTTCAGCATATTCTTGCTAGATACTTTGTATTGAAGAATCCTATATTCCAGCAAATCTCATAGGTACTCTGTAAGATTCAGATCAGATGAACTACGGGGCCATTTGCAGTGTAATTGGGATATTATACAAGAATCAAAGCTTCACAATCTCAGCGGTGTGCTTAGGATCGTTGTCGTGTTGGAAACGAAACGATTATCCTAAGCCGAGTTTGGTGGAACTTTTCTTTAAATTGGTTTTTAGGACATCAAAGTAATCATATTTGTTTATAATTGATTCTGTATACTCCAACTTGCCAACACCATTGCTCGCCATGCACCCCTACACCATGATTCCACCGCCGCCTTACTTTACCGTTGGTACTAAATGCTCTTTTTGAAGCGCTGTGCAAAGTTTTCTCCAGACTAATTTACGACTTTTTATGCCGAAGATGCAAAATTTGCCCTCATCAGAGAATATCACAGTTCTCCAGAACTCCAGAGGCTTATGTATATGATCTTTAGCAAAAACTATTCGCTTAAGCCGGCTGGTCATTGAAATATAAGATTTTCTGCGAACCACTCGACTACGGTATCGGGCCTTTTTCAAGATTTTTCTTGCAGTATCTGCCCAAATATTTTTGTTAAGCTTCTCGTGAATGTCTGTTGCTATTTGAGTTGCAGTCAAACACGGATTTTTTTTTTCCAGCATTAATGTCATACTTCGTTTTTCGCTGATTGTGAGTTTAGATGGACGACTTAAACGAGGTTTCGAAGTATAAATTCTTTTATATTTCAAGTTATAAATAACATGATGGATAGATGAATACTGCCGTCCAACGGCTATATCCCGAAGACTTTTTCCATCTTTTTTCCATTTTGACAATGATTTTACGCTTACTGATATTAATTTTCTTTTTATTTTCGGTGTCCTTGAATTGTTTCGTATATCACAAAAATGTAACAATTATTAAGTCACAATTTTTCTTAAGCTATTTTACTTGATAACTTGAATGCAAAAAAAACTCTGTTAACATATAACGCCTGTTGTGTTACAAATTCCAAAAATCAAAAATATTCAAACAGTGAGCGCAACTTTTTCTGCCTACTATTTGTGTGTTTTGCTACAAAATTCCCGTTATATATATATATATCTTAAGTAGTTTTAATTCAAAATTAACGAATTCTTGCATGCTCAATATTTAAATAATAATAAACAAATTAATGAAATTTGTTAGAAAAAAAATTATATTTCTATTAAATTTTACCTTTGCTGTATGATTTCTTATGGGTGAACCTAGACTTTTTCTAGCTAGTGTATATTAAATGAGAAATTAAGATTTGCATGTAATTAGAATTCTCATCATGTCCCTTCTCCTTTTTAGACTTATTACTATTCACGATTTAGTAATTTATGATGAAATTATGCATTTTAATTTTTAATTAAGCCATTGCAATGACCTTGACATTGCTAAAGTTTGTACAAAATGCTTGAAAACATTGTTATTAATCATCTGGAAAATAAAAATTAGAATTGTATCTCATAGAACAAAATTCAAATTATCTTTTTAAATGCAGAATGCTTGAAAGACTCATTGTCATGGGAACAAATTTTGTACTTATTATTTTTTTTTTTTTAATGTTGGTTATTTAATCTTAGCTTTTGATTAAAAAAAACCCCCCTTTTTTTAAAAAATGTATATATTTTCTGATAGGTAACTTAATGAAAAAAAAGTGTAGTGCAGTCGTAAACATCGATTAATTGAGACCTAATTAGTTAAATTTTAGCTCTGTTATTCGCTTGTATTCCTTATAACAAATGAAATTTTGTCGGCAGAAATGTTAATAACGTTTTCTAAGTTATTGAAAAGGAAGTAATTTAACAACACAGAGAGTCATTTGCATTTGATGGAAACGATTTTGCTGTCACTTTTCTATGCATAAATATTATATTTTTGTCAACTACTTGCTTTCTCTTGAGTATGCTTGATTCTTTACTATTTGAGTTCATCTTTATTCGAATTTTCCTTTGCTTTCACTCCTAACTGTTAAGTCAATTTTATGCTATTACTTTTTCTAACTTTCGAAGGTTCTATTGTATGCAAACACCGTTTTCGTAAAGTATTTGTGCTTCTTAATAAATCATTATGTACAAAAATCAATTCGAAAAACAACAAGACTTAGCAGGCAGCTGTGCAGATAGTTATGCATTTTATTATTACTTTTCCGACTTTTTCAATTAAATATCTTTGCGGAAGTAAAACGAGATTAAAAAAGATTAAAAGGTTTGAAAAATGTGGTTTGTAGACGATTTAGACTCACCTTGTGAGGTTTGAGGTTTTATACGACATGATGTAAAATAACTAAATATCTCTGGAATAGAGGGTGCTTACGCTAATTTAGATTTACCGCGTTTTTTTACGACATGAAAACGTTCAAAATCGCGACAACAGAGGGAGCTAGTGCAAATTTGTGAAAGTGATGTATGGATACCGCTCACTCCCACAAAATTAGGAAACAAGAATGTTATTACCTACTTCCTGCACAATTGTAATATATAACCATAATAATGGTGTGTGTTGTTATTGTAACTTTAAAGTGCACATGGTATTTTTATGCTATATGCAAATTTTTAATCTGGTGACGTGAATCAGGCATACAAGCAAAATCACTAAAGTGTTATTTTTACTTGCTAGTCCCAGTTGTCATGTAATTGTTTTAAGGTAAATCTTACTGGGTATGCTGTAGTACACAAATTCAGAGTCTACCCAAGTTTCCGTCGGTAAAAGGGGTGAAGCGAGGAGAAGGACCACTCTGTCTTTGGGTTGCAAATAGTATGATACTAGATAGCTAATGACCACAATCGTTGTGAGGAACGTACCAATAACAATCTTCAATCATCACTGTATTCAACAGCCAGTGCTGCAATTTCATGTGTCTCGGGCATATCAGCAAATACAATCTGGGCAGTAGCGTAACGTTCACCCCCGCATTACGTAGGGCCCAGGGATTCTAGAGGACCCAAAGCCTGACTGACGCCAAGTACGTATTTGGACTTGGGACACAAAACCTAACTTTGCAGGGGGGTGGGGATAATATTCTCCGTTACGCCACTGAATTTGGGTAACCCTCTGAAGGACATTGCAGGGGTCAAAACTCGAATATGTTCAGCAACTGCTGCTAGTGGATGGAACAAAATGCGAAATGCATAATGTGTATGCAATATTCAATAATGTTTTTATTTCCAAGTACACATTTAAACATTTTGCACCTTAAGCCAAAATAATAATCTTCTGCCCCACTCAATAAAAAGTTATTATATATTCATTTGAGTATTGCCTATTTCATTTATTTTTCGTGGAATAATGCAATAAGAAATTGAATACCAAACTTGAAAAACTTTAATTGCAAGTATTTGGTTCGAATTTTGTTCTGACTGCCCTCCTTCCCTTTGTTGCTGTGGTTCTAGGCCATAGCTTAGGAGGGCCTTATGTGAAATCTGGCTCTGTTTATATCCTGATTTTGTGTTATGGGAGCGATATGCAAACGTCATTACTATGAGCACCCTCTTTTGTCACGATTTTGAATTTCGCAAGCCATGCAAAATCCTTTAACACGGTAAATATAAACATGCAAACTGGTCTTTCTAACCCAGCATCTAAGAGCATTTTTATCGCATTTTACTTACGCAATGAATTTTTAAAGTGTCCGAAATGATGCATTTAATTTTGAAGTATACTACGAGGCTTTTTCAAAATGTGCTTTTACTTTTTGACAGCCTTTTCCTACATAAAATTTCTTTTTCAAAAATATGGTTCTAAATTTTTCGCTTAAAAATATTAAGAAACTTCTTTGCATTACTTGAATTTTTTAAATTTTAACTTATCATTATAGCAAAATTCTATTACACAATCATGAATGTGAAAGAAAACTTTTCATTAGAATCTCTTCTTTTACTATTAAATTCTTCTATTGAAGAGTAAAAAAATACTCGTTTCTGGAAAGTTTAAGGTTACGCACGTTCAATTGTCACGACAACTTTCATTATTCTCCGTCTAGAAGATTTTCATATGACTTCCTGCTGTTAGCTTACTTTTTAATGTGCATTCTGCAAAAATTTGTGAACTTTGAACACTAAACCTTTTTTTTTTTTTTTTTTTATTTTTTTTTTTTTTTTTTTCTTAATGAATAATTTTATTTACCGTATGAGACAGAGACCTTCTTAGTCTCATTGCTAAACGTTTCGAAGCAGGTAGGCTTTTCCTTTTAATACCTGAGATTTGACCTTTTTAATGATGCCTAGACTTTTTTCATATATTTTCAGTATAAGATTCTTCAGGGGTTTTTTTTCTTTCTCTATAATAAAATTCAGCTAATCCTTGTTTTCCTTTAATCTTATTTAAAAACAAGTAATATATATAAAAAAATTAAGTCAATTCCTTCTTAAATCAACAAAGAAAAATTTTATTTTAGTTACTTTTTATGAAATAATTATAATTAATATAAATATGTATATACATATGACAGGGTCACAGTATTAAGTGACGAAATTGAAACCGAATTCTTTTTCTATATACGGTGTTGGGCTCTTATTTTTGTTTGTTACTATTTATTCATTCATAAATCACATTCTGAGAAATTAGGCCATCCCTGGTAGGATTCAAACCCACAAACCTTTGGATTAGAAGTCCAACGCGCTATCCATTGCGCTACAGGGACACAACGAGCGAGTTTTCTTTTTATATATGGAGTTGGACTATTATTTTTGTTCGTTACTATTTATTCATTTTTTTTAATTTAATTAATGAATAAATATTTGAAGAAATGTATTAACATCAAGTGTCATCCAATACAAGTTTTAAAAAAATGTATTTGAACTTGAATGGATAAATAAAAAGTATTTTATTAACGATTGAAAATTTGAACAAGATATATAATATATATATATAGGGAGAGTGTGATCTAATAGTAGGAATTAAAAAAAAAAAGTAGTAACTTTTTTAAAAATTTAAACTTTTTCTTCTGCTCACAAGTAAAATAAAAACGAATTAAAACCATTAAATAAGCTCCATCAACGTTTATATTTTACCTTCCTCTTTATGGGCCTTTCCGGTAGTAAAAATTATAAATTTCGCTAGAATGACTGATTAAATCATTTCTAAGTTTTGTCATGAAATTGTGATCATGAGAGGTTTTGGAAAAGTCCACACATACTTACCTTTATATCCATACACATGCACACACTCACAGGTATAAACAAAGGAAAAAGTGGCATCCAAAATAAAAAGTGGAATATAACCGAAAACAAATATTTTCCTACAGACGGATGGAAAAAAATATTGCAATTGATACACTCGTCTAGACGAGAGTACAATAAAGTCAGATCATACCGAAAGGTAGACAATTCCACCATAATAATAAGAAAGGAAATATCTGGATATTGAATACAAACATGAAGCTCGTCAGCAAATAATTCTCGAGCTGTCATCACCTCTGTAGTCGCTTAGAGTGATAAAATCAAATCATGGGTACTTGATACTACTGCCATTACGTAGATTTCATTGTTATGTGAATTATTACTTTTACAATTGTATGAGAAATAAAAAAAATTCCTCGCATAGTGGATTATTTTCAACTACATAGAGAAAAAGTATTAATATATTCATATATTTTGTCGGAAATTGAATGTTTTTTAAGTAATGGGACATTTTTAAAAGCACTACCTCCATTAATAATTGAAAAAAATCGGGTTTTTTCATATACTTTCCTTAAACAGGCGCTTGATATAGTAAATTATTTGCTTGTAGCATAAATAAATACGACTAAGGAGTATCAGGTGAGGGAAAAAATAGCAGAATAATGGAATCAGCTGGTGTTGATTCAATATGATGAATCAATGATGCTGAATAATTTAAAAAAACACCTGCGACTTTCAGCATTTTCTGGATCGTAAACACTGAACTATGGTAAATCATAGGTCTGAAATATTAGCCTTTGGTATCCATTTATGTCACTAATTCAATTGTTCTATTGTATCACTAATTCAATTGTTCGTCCAAAATTACAAAGTCTGTCACACACATAAACAGCCTGCCCCCTCAGGGATTTATTTTCTTCAGGTAAGTATGGGGTTTACTACCCCGAATGATATATCTTCCTTCCCTTGAGAGATTTACTGTTTTTGATTAAGACTATCGAGATTCTAGCAATGCAACGGGTGAATGCCCCAGTAATTCTTCCCTGTACTTTCAATCCTCCTTCTCCGTCTCTACGTCAACCAATACTTACCTTTTTCTTCCTTCCTTCGTCTTACGTCTATATTTTAGATATACATCGGTGACAATTATTTATAATGATACATTCAGCGACGTAACGGTGAATATTAGGGGCCCCCTGCGAAGTCGGATTTTGGGCCCAAGCCGAATCTTACAAAGGGCTATATACTTGGCGTCAGTCAGGCTTTGGGCCCTCTGGAATTCTGGGCCTCCCCCTCCCGCAATGCGGAGGTGTACGTTACGCCACTGGATACGTTAACGCGATTGACATACACAGTAGTACCCAAAACTTACACGATAGGTCGGATTGAGTGTTAAACGAGTAATTCGGGATATAATTTCACACATATAAATATATATGAATTATTTTTAATTGGACTGGAGATGAAAGGAAATAACAATTTAGGAAATAAAATGTTTAATAAAATCTTTGGTTTGCAATTTTATATTTGCGTTATCTAACTTATTTTGATGTAGGAGGTTTCATAAAATCTAGCCATGTACCGAAGCCGGCTCGAATATATTTTTTATCCCGTAAAATTTTCTCGTAGCATGCTAATAATTTTTTTTATTCCTTGCTTTGTTGAAAAAATACGCTTTTCGTTGGAGTCTATATTTTCTAAAAATTACAACCCTTTTTAACACGCTCTTATAAGTTTCACTTGTATGTAATGGAATCTTTGGACTCGATTTTTACCGACCTTTAAAAGGTCAGATTAATTCGAATTTTTGCACACTTGTCAAGGACCGATAACAATACAATAATTTCAAAATTTTGTTCCATTGTCCTAAACAGAGGATTGTCAAAAATATAACGATTTTAAGGATTACGAGATTTGGCGACAAGTTCATTATATCGTTTCCAGATTTAGCGACGAATTGTATGTACCATTTCCAAATTTGGCGACTAATTCCTTAGTGCATTTCCAAATTTGGCGATTACTTCCAGATACGGCGACTAAAAGACCTACCCCTTAAAAAGGTGCAACCCTAAAAATGAAAACGCTTGTTATTAATGCAAATAAAACAAAACAAAAAGTTTTTTATATGATCAAGGGGGGGGGGGAGACTTGTGCATGTGAATAAAAATAATTTATGTTCAAACTGCTAAATATTTTTTTATTTTTATACAGCAATACGCTTAGAAGTGATGATACGATTTAACATTATAGCAATACGTTTAAAAGGTGATAATACGATTGACATTTACACACTTTTATCAATTAGACCTGTATCTATAGAGACGGAATCTTTGAAATATAACGATATGGGTCTCATCCGAGGCCCCGTAAATGGAGAGAATAAATACCCTTCAGACCCGTTAATATCCATTGAAGAGCAAGATTAATTCCAGCAGCCACATAGTTCTGGCTTCAAATATCAAACTCGAGGATAAATTCAACAAAGAATAAATAATAGTTTTAAAAACTAAAAAGACAAGCTTTTATTGTTGATCGAACTAAAAAATGAACAATAAATCATAGTTTAAAAAAAAAAAACGCTTTTATAGTGAATCGAACTAAAAAGTAAAAAAATTTCTTACTAGTTCCATTCCGAAATTCTGAGTTAGTGAAAAAATGTAGTACAAAGCACCCCATACTTTTACCCCCAATGACATTAATTTTCTCGTTAATCATTTTCTTCTTATATTAAGATTTATTTTTTACTTTTTAGTTCGATTCACTATAAAAGTGTTTTTTAGTTTTCTTTAAACTATAATTTATTCAATTAAACTGAAACCATCTATCAAATTCCGAACACCGTCATTCAATCTTCTGAGTTAATTGGATACAAAGACTCGTTCTGCATGCTCTAACTCATGCCTTTTTATGAGCTCATCAATTGTCAGCTTCTGATTGTGGGAATCCAGCAGTACTTAAAATGTTCTAAATTTGTTTGCCTGGCAATATCGACAATTTCTTCAATAACATTACCAATTCCGTCTGTCTCTGGCACTGATTCCGCCTAACAGTTTGCGATGAAAAGCAAACAAATAATCAAAAGACGAATCGACGACATGTGAAGATCACGTAACTGCGGGTTTGCGCAAGTCGAGATATTACTGTATATAAAGTGGCTGAGATACATATCTTTGCGGCAATAAGACCAACTTAATGTTGATTGTATCAAATACGAAGTTAATCCAAATACACTTAATACAATTTTATTCATTTCTTGAAAAGCATATATTGAATTATTGTATGATATTAATTTGATATCGGTACGCTACAGATTTTTTCCGCCAAATAGTTGTACAATTTTGCCAATATAAGCGATAGCATTAAACCGACCGCCAAAGATCTATTTAGCGCGATTTCAAAATCACGTCCAAAATGAATAGCGCACCGATATGGAACAAGTTCCATTGTTTTTGTAACTTTCCTCATTTAATTAATTTTAAGAACAAAAATCGACAATTGTATTTCAGAATACTAGAGAATCATTTTCTGAGATCATAAATGCGGAGGAATTTCTAGTGTTTACTTAAGCAAGATGCTTGTAACGCAATAACAGTTTATTAATACTTTTTTAGTTCAAATACACAAAATTTATTGAACAACCAAACGATATCTGTTGCCAATACTCGAAATATAATATAAAACTACATCCGTTGCCAATATCCAAACGGAAATACATACAAATACAAAGTTCATGAGCCTTCAATAGTCCTATAAAGTCAATAATGTGAACAGGGAATTTTTCGAACCCACATATTTCTTGGAAAAAGAAATAAAAAAACCTAAAACAAAATTTATATTAATATTCCATTTAGAATCACACTTCTTACTTGATAAAAATTAATTTTAATAAGCAGGTCGAATAAAAAGAATACAGAATGTGCAATGCATTTAAACCATAAAAGCCGACCGTTTCTCATCTTTTCTTGCTATAATTATAAGACAGGAGAAAACATTGAAACCTGTTAATCTCCAAGAACTCAATATATATATATATTAAAACCTTTTTTTAGTTAATCGATATTGCTTTTATTTCTTATTTCCTTGTCACTTAAAAAACTAAAAGTAAAGCTACTACCTGTCATGTATATCGAGATAAGATAAGGCCGTGAGATAAATTGAGGTGTAACATAAATATTTTATCTGTATTGTTCGTGACATCTGTGATTGCTGGAAGTATCCATAACTCTGTTTCGTATCTTTTAAAAAAACCTCCAGGACGGGTGACGTTTTATAATAGCTGACATTTATAAAGCTAGAAGTTTTAGATAGCTAATGATTTGTAATTTATTTTTTAAAGCTTTATATTAAATTCATTGGTAATATTATTAAGTGAAACAAATTAAAGAAATCACTTATGACGGGGAAAGTATGAGAATTCATTTTAGATGAAATGCACAACTATTTCATTTATCGGTAATTGATAAATGCTGCATTTTTGCATTGCATCATTTTTTATGAAAGCATGAAATCCAAATAATCTGTC